TAATTTGCGCAGCCTACCTCCATCTATGAGCAGCTTTACTCACTTGGATTTCCAGAGCTCATCTTGCACTCTCTGCTCTGCTGCTGGGGTAGCCTTCACTCAAACCAGTCTTTCCCCGCGTTTACAACAGCGGACTGCCTTCACTCCCTCTGGCATCCAGGTCCCATCTCGGGCGACCTCGATCTCTTTCTCTCTTTTGTTTTTGACGGCTGCCTTCCAGGATCCCAGTGGAGCCTTCCTTGTTTCCGGGATTCCATCTGGGAGCTCTGTACCTGACCATGTTGTCGGGGATATACTTAGAGGAATGGGAGGTCACGTGAGGAACTGGTTCGGGCCCAGTCTCAGCAGCTGACACTCAGTCTTGAGCATGCCTGTGGATCCCCTACAGCGCACTGTGGCCTGGTCTTGGGAGGGGACACCTCCAGGACTGTGCTTTCCATTCAGTATGACGGTGGAGTGACCACCCCAGTGTGAGTGTCGCGCCCGGCCTCCTTGCTGAACGCCTCTCTCTGCCTTCCATTGCTCCCTGGGGCTGAGCACATCTGGATCTGGGTAGCTCTCCTCCTTTTATTTCCCCTTTCACTCCTGACCCACCTTCCAGTGCGGCAGTGGAGCCCTTCCTGTTCCTGTGTTCCAGTTCTCTCGGGCTCTGTCTGAGAGTTCTGTTCATAGCTGTGCTGTCTGGAGGCTTTCAGTAGCCAAGAGGGGACCAGTGGACGGGTCAGAAGTGGGGACCGGTTTTCAGCAGATGATGACTCTGTCGGCCCCAGTCCCAGTGGTGCCTGGTATTCCGGTTCAGTCTGTATCCAGGCACTTCCTTGGAGGGCTGTCTTCCAGGAGACCATGCTGACAGCGTACGCCTGGGCTGAGGGTGTGTGCCTTGATTTGACCAGTTCCTGGGGCCCTCTGACTGGACCTCTGCAACCTCGGTTTCCTGCCCGGCCTGGGAGATCTGACCCCTCCACAACGAGAAACCTACTGGATGATAAAGCACTGCCCTGGCTTTCCTCGGTTTTCCCTGCACTTCCCTTTCCCGAGCTTGCCTGTGTAATGGGAGCTGATTCTGACTCCCAAATGTATTGTTTAGGACCTTACACAGACGGTATAATCTGGAAGTGTCTGGAGAAGGGCAACAGGGAAACACGACAGGATCAGGACGGGATGACTGACAGAGGGGCGTGATGGCAGTGTTACGGTGTTTGGGGGGCGTGGCACAGGCAAACAAGTCCAAAACAATCCTGAAGGGGAAACCAGTATGCAGCCCAAAGTCCATTTCCGGGAAGTCCATCCAAGACTAACACAGGAACAAGGAAGTAGGAACACGGAAGGGTAAAACCATAACGGAGCCAGGCGCTCTGAGCCCCGGACTCAGATGGTCAGGATGCCGGAGTGAAGCCTATGCCATCAGGTCTCTCCTGGTCCCGCTGGTAGGCGGGCTTCCCGGTGTCCGTCTTGCAGCGCTGAGCGCAGAGCTTCGGAGGCACGGGGTTTAAGTAATACACAAGGAACAAGGGGCAGGTGAACGGAATTATGAAACTAGAATACAAAAAAGGGTCGGAGAGCCCATCTAGAGGAGGGATGACGATCGCGAGGGCCTGCAGCCCTGGCGACTCCAGGGGGCTGTCCTCCAGGTCAGTGCAGCCTCCTTCCCTGGGAGGAGCTCGGCCGAAGGAGTCCGCTCTGAAGCTGATGAGAGAGACGCCCCAGTGTCCCAAGCTTGCCTGGCTCTAGTTGGTGGACCTTGGTGGACAACTTTGCTCAAGCCAGGCGCTATGCTTTGCTTGCCCGAGGTGCAGTGAGCCTGCCTCTCTCTGGTCGCACCCTAGCCTTTTTTCATCCTTGCTCTGTCGGCCCATACTGTTTAATTATAATTAATAATAATTATAAGAATTGCTTACACTTATATAGCGCTTTTCTGGACACTCCACTCAAAGCGCTTTACAGGTAATGGGGACTCCCCTCCACCACCACCAATTATCACTTTAAATCCCATATCACTTTCCCTCTGTTGTTCTGGAATTCCTCATCCCCGTTTCTTCGGACCTGGATTCTGACCAGCCACACTTAGGCACAGCCAGGCATAACTGAAGTATTGTAAAGAAATTAAAGTGAAAAATCTCGAAGAAAACAGAATTTAACATTCACCAACAAGTGATGTTTTTACAGATTTAAATCTTGTAGTCCATTTATTTCTCTCAAGAAATCCAAGGAAGGAGCATCTTTTTCTTTATTTCTGTGTACACTCGCAATGAAAGTTTTAGAATATCTTGAAAAAAGGTCCATGAGGCTAAATATTTTCAAGCTACAAGCAAATGTAGAAAATAAATAAAAATGAGAAGCATATGGGGGAGCCAAGTGAAGGAATTGGACAATATTATTTCTAATATTGATATTACATTTATTTTGACTTCCACTTCTTCTCCTGGAAATGAAGCTTCGATTAGGTACAGTATGCATAACATAACTTTGTTTATGGGACAGTCTTTTTTAAATAATAAAATAGTTTACATTGTTTTAAATGTTTAGGTGGTTTATGCTCCAACGTAATAGGTAGCATTTTAAATAAACTTTTTACGTTTTTTTGTTTTCAGCTTATTTCTACATTTAGAATTTATAAACTGTAACATCTCATTCTTAAACTTAAAAGTTAAAACTTGTCCTTGATGACTAGACATCTACATATACAGTACTTTATAATCCTATAAAGGACTTCATCACAGATATCTGTTTATATGTGTTATATATAACACATAAATATATATAACACTATTAACACATCAACATATATTTATGTTTAGAGTGCTCTCATTGTTGCTTTGCAGCCTTTGAGGCCTGTGCTTGATTCTGCACTGTCAAACATTCAGTATGGAGTTTGCATATTCTTCAAAGGCTCATATGAGTTTTTACTGGGTGATCTGGCTTCCTCCTTCCTTTCAAAGACATGCTACCCAGGTGAACCTGTCCTTAATAAAATCGTGTTTGTGTGCGTGGGGGTGTCCATCCAGGCTCAGGGTGAAGTACTGAGTTACACCCTACAACATCTTTGCAGATCAACAACCTTTAACTACCTTCTCTGTTTGTTTTTCTGGTGATTTTTGCTTAAGTGCACAGAGGTGTTTTTGTTTTGCTTTGTTCTCCCAGTTTTCCCTGCACAGATACACACCAAATGTCAATACTTCAGGAAGATGAAATAATAGACATTTCACTACCTGGACAGGCACAGGTTTGGTAGGCCTGTGCCTGTTGGTTGGTTTCCTGTCATAAGAATCAGATGAAAACAAAATGCAGCAGGGGTTTGTGATTAACTTTGGATTGCATAGTTGAAATGCTTTTTTCTGAAAACTTTTGATAGAATTTTCTTCAGCCTCACTCAAGGTCGCTTTTTAAAATGTTTTCTTTCCCTTCACTCATTTAATCTTTGGAATGCTTTCTGAAGTAGGGAAAATCTACAGGACTGCTGCAGTACTTAAATACCAAAGAGGCCATTTCATCATTGTGAACAGCAAAGAGCTACATGCTGGAGCCGATGTGAAGGAGCTTTAATATCAATCAAAACACTGATCTTACAAGCCAGTCTTGCAAAATGCACCCGCAATAGGGCAGCTTTGAAGAGAGCATAAAGAGTTCAAAATGAGACTGCAAAACGGTTTGAGTGAAATTGCTTTTCACACACAGCATTTAGAGAAGAGTGCACAGATCTGTGAAATACTGTAAGTGAAAAGAGAGGGCAAAGAATTCCATGAAAAGCTGGATTATTAATTTACAACTTCGGCATTCATGCTAAGAGTAAAAAAGGAAGATGTGAGATGGACAGACTGACAAATGTAATGAGAAAGTGAAGATGTTAGAATACAAACCCATCTACATGTTTTCAACAACCGCATCACAAACTACCCGTGACGTGGCTACTCCTTCCAGGTGGAATCAGACTGTGGCAGACCAGCAGTAATTAGGGTAGTAGTTTCATTTGACCTGCCACTATTGTGTGTAAATAGGTTCACATGTGGTGCATTAGTTGATTGCTGAAGTGCTGAGAGCCACATGCTCACATGGGGTTACTTTAGTTTTTATTTGATGTATAAGGGGACTCAGAGTGATGGTGGTTGTTGGGTTGTTAGGTTTTTTGTGTATATTGAAGAACTTTGTTAGAATAAAATCTCCTTGCACAGTCTTTTCTCATCCACGGTGCTTCTTTCACGTGCTCAGTCCTCATGAGCCACTGGCTGAAAAAAAGAGCTCACGCCGACTTTGATTTAGTATGTAAATATAATGCAAATACTATTAACGCGTTGTCATTTTTCACACCAGTTTATTATTTAATAAAACTTAAAACAGATGCAAGTTTTGCACACCATTGTTATGGCCACAGAATTTCAATCAGACAGGCAATGTGAGAATGTGTGTGAGATGTCCAAGGCAGATGACTGTGGAGTTTGATCGTATAAGCAGCAAGGGTTGAACTGCAGTGTCTACAACTTTGTGCTAGCTTCTTTCTTAATTGTCCCAAGTCTTTCATTTTAACCGCACATCATTCGCCTCATCACGTTCAAATGAGAACTTCCATGTCAATTAGAGGTGTATACAATATATTAAAAATCAAATCCAAAAGGATTGGAAAATAAAAATAGCAGCTAAACAATTCTCAACTCTGAATTAATGCAACACGTTTGATCCTCAATGATGGATTAGTGTTCATTCATTTCCAACAGGCCTGAACTCCGAGAACTAGATGTATTGGCCTCTCAACCTGTAACAACTTCAGCAATTCCTTTAGTTAGATACATTCTACTGCAACACCACAAAAGTGCTCCTGTACTCAGTGTACAGTGATCATCAGGGATAAATATTGAACACCCTTAATATCCATGTTTTCTTAAGACTAAAATGATACAGAACCCTGGCTACTTCCCGATTGAGAACCATCTCTTTAAGAATGCAAGTAGTTTTATAAAAAATATATCAATCCTTCACCAACCATCTATAACATTCACATGCTCATGGGACACATTTATGGAAAGAGGCTAATCTCACAGCGTATTGAAAATAGCCTTCCATTACTGTTACGACTGCCATATTTCTTATTTTTAAGATAGCCCCTGCCCCCCCCAATCTAAAAGAACAGAAACAAAAAAAAATAAAATTTCTTCATGCTGTCTCTAAAAACACAAATAAGCCATTAAAACAACTTGCAATGTATTAACTTGTCATCACCATCATTCGGTCATTTTTTGTTTTCAGTTGATTACTGTTAAAACAAAATGCAAAGTGCAAGTAAAGTCATTAAGAAAAAAATATACAAATTAAATATCTTTTTGTTTAGTTTTTTTCACTATAATACAGTCTCAGTCGTAGAGGGACAATGGGCTGGACACAACAGTGGAATCTGTAGTGAAGAGAGGGAGAATGGTGTCATTGTTATGCTGAAGGCCTTTTACAAATTCCAGTACATCCAGAATTGAGTTAAAAATCAGAATTGCACAGGCCAGGCAGCAATCGGATTCAGGAGATTCTTCTCTTCTTTTGCTTTGAATTATATACAGCTTTGTTCATTATCTTACCCCACATTCGTATAATTTGTTCATTCAGTAATGTTTTTTTTTACACCATGCTGAAATGTCTAGGAATCAGTCACTGTCACTAATATGTGTCTGTGTGGGAAAAAGCTGTACAACCTAGGAAGTTATTATGTAGTTGTGGGTGAACAGCTGGGGTAATCTCATGTTAGAAGACAGGGGAGGAAGTAAAAGAGATATATAGATAGAAGGGTCAGGGAAAGATACAGAGAGAAAGGTGAAAAGAAAGACCAGGATAAGGCAGAAGTAATGTTGAGTTTAATATTCATCTTGGTCATCGTGTGGTTGTTCGTCAATCTCTTCATCTTCTGGAGCAGCAAATCCTTCCTGAAATGGAAAGCACAGAGTTTCATTTAGAGGCCTCTGGAACCTAAGACGGAGAGCAATGGTTTTTCCAGGGCTCAGCAGTACTAACGGGATTTGTTCTTGGTCCAGGTCCAGTCTTGGATTTAATTTTGAACGTGTTGCGTTGTACCAAATGGATCTGCATTCACACAAGCTCAGTTTTGTCTCACGGTTCTGATCGTCCTTTCAGGCAGGATCATAGCTAAATTATTCTAAAAACATCAATGAGCTACATTTTAGTTTACTGAGCTCTGTTTTGTCTCAGATTTCTTCTGACGTTCCTTTTAGGCAGGATCTTTCAGTTTGAAGGAACCATCTTAGCGTTTCACTGAAACCAGATTCAATCCCGATTTTCAATCCCATCAGTACAACTGACCCCAACACAATCTACATACATACAACATAATATACTGGCCCAACACAAGGACTCCTTATACCCACCCTATTCCATGCACCAAGCAGGCTTGAAAATGCCACAATGCACTAAAGTTTAATCTTCCTTTTTAAAAAAAACCTCAACAACACTGCCTTAAATTCAACATACGGGCCCTATTCTCCGATATTTGCTATAATATTTAAACAAAAAAAGGTGGTACCCTTGTGCTAGTCAGTTACAGTAGAAGAGCTCTATGTTAAATACCAATAGGATATTGGCAAAATTTGCATTCCCAAGTCTAAATCATAATCTATGTGGCGGATTTTGACTTCCAAAAAGCAACTTGCCAGTAAGATGGGGATTTGATATCCTTGAGAAAAACAATTTCAAACCAAAAATGTAACAGACTGAACATCCAGGCATTTAATGACAAAATGCAGATCTGGTTTGCAATTAGCCCTGGTTGTAAACTGGACATCAGATTACAAACTGATATTTTGCTACTGGAATTTCACATTGTTGATGGGCAGTGGTTTAAACACATTGGAAAAAAGGCATGAGTGTGTGCTGAAGAGACATGGCTATTGTTCGAATCGGTTTTGTAGGCAGAAGACTCTCTAGGAAGAACTCACCAAGGAACCAGAAAAGATCAGTTTAGCATATCTGATGTAGGAGCCAGCTTCATCAATAAAGTATTAACCAGAAAAGTCACTGCTAATAATAGTAAACACGAACATACATTTTGTGTGTTCTAAAGTCTACGATCAATGCATTTTTAGTATGGATCCACCTCTATTTAGCCAACAAAAAATATAGATCACTGAAGGACTTACAGTAGTAAGTTGATTTTTACATTATTATACTACAAAACACCACTTGCTACAGTTTTTTTTTGCACTTATAAACATAGTGCTCAATGGCAAAATGACAAAAATATGAAGAATTAATACTTTTGCTGTAGATATTTAAACTGCAGCACCTTATTGTAGTTTAATTTTTTTTCAGGGCAGAATTAATGTATAATAACCTGTCATACTGTAAAGTATGTACAATATATGGTCTTAATTTCATATGTAAAAATCAAGTAGAAACAACCCAGTTTGTGTATCAACGGTGAGAGTTTGTCTGCTTACCTCTCATGTTCTCTTGACTACTGCTAGCACGTAAGATCAAATGCTTCTAACAAGTCATGATCACTGGAGCAAGAATTGTAATGGAATTACAGAAAGCTATGAGGAGGGTCGGACAGGTACCTCTGTAGCGTAGAGAATCTCTATAATCCTGGAGATGACTGGGTTATTTTCACTTTCATGTTCCTGGCATATCAGCTCGATGTCCCTTAGTTTACTGAAGTAGAAATCTCTCTCCTTTTCCAGACCGTCAACTGTCAATTTCAGTTCCATTAACTGGAAAAGAGAAAGGGATAATGATTTCCCTGCATTCATTTGCTTTCTTTCTTTTCATCACAGCTGGGTGGTTTCTTGCGTACATTTAAACTGTATACTTTATTTAAGTAAAACTTAAAAATGATAAGCAAATGCTGAATAATACACTATTTTTAGTCAGCATACTTTATTTATGGTATCCATAATAAATGATATACCATGTGGATTTAGAAATAAAAACACTATAAGCACTGATTTATTTAAAAAAATGCTCTACAAGTTCTGAAAATACTATTCAAACATTTTGGAATACAGGTCCTTGTATTAATGCACACTTATTCAAGAGGCTCTCCTCTCTTTTAGTCTGTTTTAGCTCAACTGCGCATTGTTTCATTAAACAGTTCCAATTAAAAATCATTAAAATATTATTACTGCCACTTACTATGTTATTTGGATTCTGCTTTGCATTAAAAAATAATATAGGGAAGTTTGTCTCAAATAATTAGTATAGATTTTTAAATAAGTGAAATAATGCATTGCATGGCCATTTTTGCAGAATGTTAAATGACACATTTAGCCTTCCTTAAAGCATGCTTCACCTTGCTAGTATCTGCAAGCAGAACTTATATTTAACTTATTATATATAACTTATATTTATAACTTAAATTATATACAACCTTCACAAAGTATTTATCATAAAGTGGGTTTCTTGGCTACCTCTCATGCACCACAAGAAAATCAAGACCTAAAAGTTTGACTGTGTTGACACTATAAAATCTGGAAAGTTCTGGGTTCAGAGCTGGTGGTGGATTCAAATCACAAGATGTCAGTGTCCCAAGGGTGCTACTGTTGTATCATTGAGCACAGAACGTGAGTGAGTTTTTAAAATAAACTTACTTCAGTAAAATGCCCAATACAAATGTAAGTTGCTTTGTCAGCCAAATACTGTACAGTACATTGATTTAGATGTAGAATAGGACAGATGATATATGGAATTTACGAGAAAACAGATGGCAACAGCTTATAGATATTCTCCTTGAAGCACAGAACACATTTCACTGACAAGTAAATCAAAGTCAGAAAAGCGGTGGGCCAAATGTTTAAGTAAATTACAAGGACTATAAGGAGAAAGCACTTTCAAAAAGAGCAAATGAGTTAAAGAAAAGAAGTACACTGAGCTGCAAGCACATGTTAAAAAGGATATTAGAATGACCAGAAGAGCAGTAAAAAATGTTCCGAATAAGTTGTAGAAGTATTTTTTCCAGTATTAGAACTGAAAAAGGACAGTAAAGGAGGAAGTAAATATTTCAGAAATAAAGTTGGTAATCTTTTATCTGATGAGCCATTAACAAAACTCTTTCAGCAGGCAGGGAGACAGGGGTATTATCCACTGATTGGAAGTTGCTGATATACAGAAGCATCCATCCATAAAACATTTTCAGCCAGCAGCCATATCACCCTGCAACTCATAACTGGCAACCCACTGAAGCTAAGCAGGTGTGAGCCTGGTCAGTACCTGGATGGTCAGTACCTGGGAAAAACTAAGGTTGCTACTGGAAGAGGTGTTAGTGGGGCCAGCAGGGGGCACTCACCCTGCAGTCTATGTGGGTCCTAATGCCCCAGTATAATGATAGGGACACTATACTGTAAACAGGTGCC